GCCCCAATGAAAAATTAGAGGAGTTAAATGCAAAAGTATATTGGTTGTACTAATTATTAACATATAGTAACTAAGATTGTCAAGTGTTAGTAATTATTTTGCCTTAATTTTTATTTTAAAATCGATTAAAAAATATTTATATAAACAGCGAGCCAATTTTCAGTGGAAAAGTAGGAAATCCAAGTTTTGTGTTTCTTTAAGAGAGTCGTGTTTTTTTAAGAGAGTCATGTTTTTTTGTAAGCTAGGAAGCGATAACTAAAGAAATATTTAATTTTAGTAGTTAACAATTACTTCACTGCAAACCAGACAAAATTTAATGTAATTGAAAAGAGAGTTTGTCATTATTAAAACCATTAAAAGATGACATTTGAGCGACTACCCTAAGTTAAAAGTTAAAGGTAAGTTCTATTTAAAAAAAAAATCATAAATTATTCCCTATTTTTTTTATCGTCATCCAACTATACTACAGTTATCCAATTTTATAAAAACTTCTTTGTTTGATAGGTTTTAAATCCGTATTAATTAAGTTGAGGTTTGCTAGACAAGAATTTTAGATTAAGCTCAAGATGAGTAACAAAATGATTATATGTTTTATCCTGTCAAGTAAAAGTACCTCTGTTTTCAGTCAAAATTACTACAATTAATGAAGAGAAGAATAGTTGGGGTGCTCAGTCAAAAAAGGAAGGCAATAAATAAATTATAATATTTATTTTTTACTTATTATAATATTTATTTAAAAAATAAAAAATAAAAAAGTAAAAAATAAAAAATTAAAAAAAAGTAAAAAATAAAAAGTAAAAAAAAATAAAAAATAAAAAAGTAAAAAATAAAAAAAAAGTAAAAAATAAAAAATAAATATTATAATTTATTTTTTGCCTTCCTTTTTTGACTGAGCACCCCAACTATTCTTCTCTTCATTATCCACGACAGTCAACCAATTACCAATTACTACAATTAACTATTTCAAAGCTTTTATTTCTTATTTTTCCGTGATCTGGCATGTGTGTATTATAGTAAACGCAATTGTTTAATATTTTAAACGTCAATTTTAGGAATAGAAACATTATGTTCGTCACTGATAAATGCGGATCAATTAATATGAAAGATATCTGGGAGAAAAACGTAACTTCATAAACACTTTACATGAAAAATATTTAAAATATCGTCATTTTTAATAAATAAAATGTACATTTAGGCAACTTTTTTTTTATTATAATACATTCCAGATCATGGAAAAACAAGAAATAAAAGCTTTGCAACAGTTAATTGAAGTCATTTTTTCTGAAAACACTGGTACTTTTAGATGACTGGATAGAAAATCACATCATTTCTTTACACAACTTGAGGTGAATCTCTCTTTTTTGCCTAATAAACTCCAATTTAATTACTATAAACTTAAACCTAATTAAACGAAGTAGTTTATCTAAAACTGGGGTTACTGTAGTGTGGGGTTACTATGGTTGGATGATGATTAAAAAAAATCGTGAATAATTTATGATTTTTTAAAAAATAGAACTTAGCTTAGTTTAGTCGCCCAAATGTCCTCTTTAAACTGTTTTATTAATGACAAACTCCCTTTTAAATTTTTCTAGTTTGCTGTAAAATAATTGTTAATTACTTAAATTCAATATTTCGTTAGTTATCCTTCCTATTCAACAAAAAACACGATGAAGAATCTGACCATTGCCAGAACTCCAAGATATATACTACAAAAGATCTCTGGGCCACTGCCGTTTCAACCTTCGAGGAGGGTTGTAGGGATGAATTAGTTCCATTCATGTTGGGAATTTGTAAGGTGATTTAGATGATTTGTAATGTTCTGATGGAATTTATAACAATTTTCAGATATAAAGTCTAGGGCAAATGAGATATTAAGGTCATAGATACTTAAATATTTAGTTATTAATATAAAGTTATTAAGCTATAGTAAATAAATTTAAGTTTATAAACGTATCTATGAAATTTGTTTATATTTCACTTCTTCTTTCACACAAAAGCAATGAAACAGTAGTGGATACTGTTGGAATATTACAAAGGAAAGATTCATCAAATTAGTCACTAATTTAATTTTCTAAAAAGTTACGTGACAATATTTCGGAATAAACGGACGTTGATATCTAATTATTTAAATATAATATCAGATCTAGAATTATTGAACTACAGTAAATGTATTTGAGGTTATAAACATATGCTTTATACATCCATGAAATGATTGTATATTCTACTTCCTATTTCACATAAGAATAATGAAATAGTTTTTTTAACAATGTCATTTCCTTGATTAGGTGAATTTTAAATACTTTTTTCAAACTTAAAAAAGTTTACATTTAGTTAGTAAATTCCATTTAATTTCCTTGGAAACTACGTTTACGTTTTATATTATTAGATTTACGTTTAATATTATTAGTTGTAAAAAATTATTATTTATAATTTTTTTACCACTGTCTGTTACCTTCTACAACCTTGTTTTTTCTAGAATTCTCCGTTTTCCAACGATATATTATAGGTATGCCTTTTGACTAGTATTTCCGGAGATTCATTTTCGACCTTGATAAGCATTTTTATTTTTTTATTCTTTTATTAAATTATCAAATTCTTTCAAATTCTTATAGTTAGCATTTTTTCGTAACTCTTAATAATGAGAGATAGTTAATTATTTAAAATAAACCATATTAAATGTACTTTAGAGAAAGACGCATATGAACATTTGGCATTTAAGCCCTGTAAAATGACATCAACGGGGATAAGACCTAAATTATATTAAAGATCACTTGATTATACAATGCGATAGCGTAAATATAAAGTGGAACTTCAGGTAACCCGATTTTAAGAAAAACGTTACTAGGACATCTACGGCATGTACCTATCTTAAATACATAATATCAGTTTCGTAAGATTTTTAGTTTTCGAACATACACACAGACGCACAGATCATTTTTCGGGACTTGGTTATTTGGACTCAAGGGACCTCAAAACGTATATTTTCGTTGAAAACTCGGGTCAATATATAATATATAGTAAGGGTAAGTATTGCTACTGTGAACATTTTTGAATCAATAAGTGAAAGTAAAAAATTGAGACCCCCAAAGACACTTTTCTACCATAAGCTCGTTTCGAATACAAATTTTCAATCCTCTAACTTAATTTGGATGGACGTTGATATTGAACTTATATTAATTTTAATTAAACATTATCCCCACTTCAATGGAATTGCTCCAAACGTAAAACAATATTGTAAACAGAATTTCAATCCTATTGATAATAAGAGAGAATCAGAAAATGCTTAGCGAGGAAAAAAGGTTTTAAGGATTAAATGTTTATAAAACTGATTTAGAATGCACTCCTGCAGCTATGTCTGTGTTTTTTTTTAATTTACATAAAAACCTGGATCACTACAACCCATGAAGGATCTCGGGTTCAGTACTTTGCACTAGCGGATCCAGGATTTAATTTTTTGGGGAGGGGGCTTCAGCCCGAAAGCTTTTTTTTCATAAAAATAACGATAATTACTCTGGGAAAAAAGAAAGAAACTAACTGCCTATACGATATGGTGTTTAACTGATTCCTAAAGCCCTTTTAAATGTAATTATACGAACAATAATACTTCGAGAGATAATTTTTTAATATTTATTCAGCCTGAAACCCCCCTCCTCCCCGTAGATCCGCCCGTGGTACTTTGTAAGGAAATATTGTTTCTCTTTCAATGACCCATAGCACCCTCAACCGCCAGTTATTTCCCATATAAACTATTAATTTAATTAAGAGGTACCCACTTTACAGAGGCTGGGTGTGCCTAGGAGGGTCTCCGACCACAGAGTCGATCCACAGCCGACTAAACAGAATAGATAATTTTTCTGCCATCAGCTCGATTCGAACCTGAAACCTTGAGCATTGGAAGTCAGGGAAATGATTTTATTTTTATTTATTTTATATACTTATTTGTTATTATTTAGTTGCTATTATTATTATTATATATGGCTTTACCTGTGTGTGCTTTAGACCACTCGATAGAAATGAAAACATCAACAAAGCGTGATTAATAATATCAAATATAAATTATAAATGATAGCTCATTATAAAGAGAATGAAATGCTGAACAATTCACTCACTAACAGTATGCAGTTCCGATTTTTAGTTTCTAAGATATTTTAATCCATAAGTTATCATTTGGTTTTCGACACTATTTTTCCTTTTCTACTCCATAACACGGCATCGCGTTAATATACAACTTTGATTTATAGCCTATTACAGAGAGGATGAAATGCTGAAAAATTTCCACACTTACGATATGCAGTCCCGATTTTTATTTTCAGAGCTATTTTAATCAGTATGTAAAAACATTTCAATTAGTCGGCTATAGCCGACTTTACCCGAGCGTTAAAATTTGACGGATCAATCTAATTCAGTCTCCACAAAAAAAGTGCAAAACGCGCCTAAAGAAGATTCCGTTAAAAAAAATTTAGTCCCATGCTCTGTTATCTTGATCAGCTGCGGGACAGCCTAAATGATCATTACAGGTATGCAATTCTTAGTTATATTTATATTTTATCTGTAAAAATGCACTATGTTGCCTCCCAAATCCTGAAAGGATGAAATGCTGAAAAATTTCCTCACTTACAATATGCAGTCCCCATTTTTAGTTTCAGAGCTATTTTAATCCATATGTAAAACATTTCAATTAGTCGACTCTACCCGAGCGTTAACACTTCGGAAATCTAATTCACTCTCAACAAAAATTGCATATCGCGCCTAGAAATTTTTTCACTTAAAAAACAAATTTAAATGCATCCCCACTCCTCTTCAATAACCTTCAATACAGTGTTAAATCCTATTATTTTTAATGGGGGAGGGGGACATGACAATAAAATTTTATGTTACTTATCAACACATTAAAAATAGACACATAAAATTATCTGCGAGACTATTAAAAGTGACTAGCGATCTCGCTAGCGGCAGCGGCAGCGGCAGTAGTGGGGAGCGGCAGGCGGCAGGCGGCAGTCATGTGCGAGCGGCAGCGCGGGCTGGGCCAGGCGCTCCTCGCGTCCTTCCTCATCTCGGTCTGCTCGGTGGTGGTCAAGTCCTGCCAGGTCCCCATCGGCCAGGCCACCTTCCTCTCCGGCCTGGTCGTCGCCTGCTGCAGCTTCCCTGTGGCCCTCTACCGCTCCGAAGACCTCTTCCCCAGCGGCCACCGGCTGCGGCTCCTCCTCTTCAGCGTCCTCAACAGCATCATGGTCCTCTCCGACTACCAGGCCATGCGGCTGATGCCCCTCGGGGACGAGGCCGTCATGGCGTACACTTCCATAATCTTCACCGTCCTCTTGGCTAGGATCTTCCTCGGCGAGCCTTGCAGTAGAGAGAAGCTGCTCTGCTCGTTCTGCATCGTCGTGGGGGTGGCCCTCATATCCTCGCCTGCGGTCGCCAACTTGGCATATCCTCACTACGGCCTCGGCTGCGTCCTTACTCTCCTCGGAGCGCTCTGTGATGCGTCTAGCTACATTTTCATTAAGGAACTATCAGCTGTCCCGTGCTCTGTTATCTTGATCAGCTGCGGGACAGCCTCAATGATCATTACAGGTATGCAATTCTTAGATATATTTAAATTTTATCTGTAAAAAATGAACTATTTTACCTCCCAAATCCTGATAATTAAAAAGGGGGTTAAGTTTTTGAATTTTTTGGTCGATCACAATGATTGATTATTGAAAATAATAAACCAAAAATATTTAAAAATCGCGATATCTCTACTAATAGTGCTTTGATTTCGATGAAATTTCCTTCATTTTGTAGGAAATTTAAATACCTTTGAAACATCTTTTCACAATATCCACAAAAAAAGTATACTTTTTGAGTTATTCGGAATTAAATTTTACCATCCATCGTAACTTTTTTTCCAGATTTTTTTTGTTGAAATATGTTATATAGATAAATTTAAAGGGCATAAAGAAAATGACTTTAGCGAAGTTTCATTGAAATTGGTACATTCGTTTAGGAGCTACAGTCTATAGCAACGCAGATTTTGAAAGTAAAGGGCGGATAGTAATGTCGATGAAGGAGGATCATCCTCGGGTGACCTTTAATTTTATGTATAAATTTGAAAAATATCGGTCCTTTAGTTTCGGAGAAAATGCGCGGACGGCGTACGGCAGACGGACAAAAATATTTTTATTCGTTTTTCAAATTCTACGCATCCTAAAACGTGAAAGCTCAAATTTAGAGAGGGGGTTAAGTTTTTGAATTTTTTGGTCGATCACAATGGTTGATTATTGAAAATAATCAACAAAATAATTCGTTTTATATATTAATACGTTGATAAGTAAGATTTCGTAGCCATTAAATGATTTTCAATTACATTAATTTTTATGTAAAATGAAACTGTATGATATTGATATCAGATGATTTGTTCATTATTCTCCAAATTCCAATAACTTTAGGGGAAAGACAATGAGCTGTTTTTACAGGCGTAGAGACGTTTGCGGATCTGAAAGCGGAGATAACGATAGAATTTAATGAAATTGGTACATTTAATCATTTTTTCTCTAATTCCTTACACTCCTCCAATAACCAAATCAAACGAGCCATTTTTTTTTTTTTTTTTTTTTTTTTTTTTTACGTAAAGGCCTATCATAATACATCAAAGCATCCGGAAGGGGAAGCAGTGGACGGAATTTGATGACGGGACCATCTTCGTACCAAACCGCACAATTCCTGAAACTTTCATCAATGCCGGATCAACGATATTTCCGTCACATCCATTTAACTAGAGACCTGGAATCAAATTTATTTTATTTAACGAGTGGAAATTTTCGATTCCGATCTCACATTTTTTTCCAACCTCTCTGGCGAATAGAGAACTTCATTATCTTTGGTAGGGAGGAAACAGAAGAAATATTCTATGAATCGCAAAAGACATTAAATATACTTTGGTAATTCACAAAATTTTATTTGGAAAATTTAAACTAAAAAGTATTTAACAGCATTTTTTTCGAAATTAGGATGAATTTTTTTTACAAAAATAAAATTTAAAGAAAACCCATATTTTTTCAATTATATATATATTTCCTGTTTATTTATTTACGTTATTTATTTTTATTTTCAAATATATATGTTAATTAGCTAAATTTATAATAATACGATATCTAAAATTATGAATAATAAAATTCTGAAAATTATTTATCACTCTTAGAAATCAATCGACTGGATATCTTACTTTACATTACCATATAATCACATTAAAATAAAAGAAGGCCTACATAAATTTAAAAACCATTGAAATGAAAGAAAGCCTATTTAAATTTAAAAATAAATTAATCAATGTTTTATCAAGGTTAAAATTGTCTAATTATGTACTCATTACACAATACATACCTATAAACTATTCCAAAAATAAGTAAACTAAGCAGATGTTCACCTAATCTGGCGGCTATATCATTGCCTATATTTACAATCCAAATAGTCGCAGATTAAATCTAGTAGCTTTTGAAGTAAAGTAATGTTAAAGAAAAACACTCTTGTAAGGGAAAGAAGTGAATAAAATTTAAAAAATATATGGAGCCATTTAGGTATCAATCAACACACTTCCTAAAATTTTCATCAAAATTAGATTAACGGTGGAAGATGATATGCCGTGGCATAAATTTCAGTACAGACAGAAATGGGACCAAAGTTGTTCCATGATGTATACCGTAAAACACGAGTGATAATTTTCAATTCTCAAAACAATTTTTTTTTTCTCCCACTTGCTCGAATTCTAACCGGTTTTCGGTTGTAAGAAAGTAATAAACTATACTTATAATCAATATAAGATTGAAACTAAAAGTATTTAAATTAATAAGTAGCATATAAAATAAATTAATTACAGTATATGGAAAATGAAATTCAAATCTTATCAATTATTCTTCATTTTGGTTTTAATACATAAAATAATAAAAAAAAAAAAACACTTATTTCAAAATTCTACAAAGGTTAATAAAAACACAAAAGTAATCTATTCTGAAGATAGTAACTACGAATAAATTAACATAATAATTAATTAATTAAATTGAATAATTAATAGTTGAAGGTTGTATTATTAAAGAAGGAGATAGTCCGTGGTGGCGGTCATTAAATAATGGCAATGGCACTATGGCGGTTATTTAAATAGTGGCAAAACTATTTTATTAAAAGCCAAAGTTTCGACCCGACTTTGCAGGTATTCTTCAGGGAGGAACTCCTTACTAAACACACCTCCCTTTTTCTCTCTTTTTTTTTTTTTTATTCTTCGCCGTTAAGACTATACGGGGTTTTCCCGGGCCTGAGAGTGTGGGCGTGGATTTAAAAGATTCCCTCCCTAAAGAAGACCTGCTTCGGGTCGAAACGTTGCCTTTTAATAAAATAGTTGTGCCACTATTTAGTCTATTTAAGACCGCCACCCCGGACCATCTCCTTCCTTATATAATGAAATGTATTTTTTTTTAAATTTAACTAAGTATAATAAAACATGAAAACCCAAAAGAAAAGAAACCCTACGATTTAAAAAAAAATTAATGTCTGACATCAAAATTATGATTACGAATTAACCTTCAGTAGTAAAAAAAAAAGTGTAAGTGATTTTTTTCAATGGAAAAATATGTCGTTCAGCTAATATCTCCACCGATCAATCACCTCGAAATGTGGATAAACATTTCGAATCTTATCAGTAGTTAGAGGGGAGGGGGTTAATGTAAACATTATAGTGTCCGAAATGTTTCACATAACGTATATCGATAATGCGTAAATGGAATTTTCAAATATTTATCAACTAAAATATTTTTTAAAAACTTATTACAATAACCAACGCATAATTTAGATTGCGTACTTTAATCAAATAAAAAAGAATAGAATCTCTTTTTTTTTTTTCATCTATGATTTCGGTTATAGTCACATTTTTATCAAATTATTAACATCTGCCTGAAACTTCGTAAATACCTTCATCTCACCATATAAAACATTGGAATTGTGGCGTTTTCAATCTGGAGATTGGCAAACTTTATCTATTTAATTAGGTGCTAAAAACTCGTTAATACCCATTTGCTTTCCACTTGAATCGTAAGATAATTTGAGCACTAATCCGAGAAAAATGTGGGCTTCAAAAATATTGAGCCGTTTGGCGTAATCTAAAACCCCAAAATTTCAAAATAAAGAGTTTATATAGGCTAAACGGCACAATATTTTTGTAGGCCATTTTTTTTCTCGATTTCGTGATCAAACTATATACGATCCAGGTGGAAAGCAAATGGGTATTTACGAGTTTTTAGTACCTAATTAAACAGACAAAGTTTGCCGATCTTCAGATTGAAAAAGATTATTATATTCTGTTTAATTTAAGATAGATTTTATCCTCATCGTAATTAAAGTACCTGTAATTTATTTAATTTAATTTAATTATCTCCCTCTCTCTCTCATTGTTAGTAGTGACAAAAAAAAAAATTAAAATATGAAAGAATTTGATTATTGGCTGAAGAAGAAAACATAGAATTGTTTTTTTCTATTGAAAATGAATTTCCGGAAAGAAGAATCACTATGTATTTGTAGAATATAGCGTATGTAATATGTAACTTACAAAGTATTAGAAAATAATGTAGAGTAACAAAAATTTATAAATAATAATTTCTGAAAATTAATACTATTTAACTGAAACAAAATGGAATTCTTTAATTAAGTGTAATTATTCTTTAAAATATATATATTTTTTTAAAAAGTCCTAGTCGTATAAAACTGAAATAACATATTTAAGGTATACGTCTAGGATATTACAGCAATGTATTCACCAAAATCGACTAACCGGGGGAAGAGAGGGGAGGGGACAGTTTATATCAATGAATTTACACATTTTTACAATATTCGCAAAAACGACTCTGACGATTTTGATTAAATTCGTTATATCAATCTAAAATCAAGTGGCCTTTAATCAAGCAGGTTTTATCTTCAATGATATAGTTTGACAGGGATTAATTGCCGAATTTTCAAAATTTCTTTATTATTTTAATCTGCTTTGTTTAAAATAATCACCCATATCACTTTATTAAAAAATAAAAAGCACAAGTAATATAAAATTATTCCAAAATAGTTGCTCTGTAACTTTTAAAATTCATTTATATTTAGTTAAGAACAATGCATTTCCTGGCAATGGTCTCGTTTAAGTCATTAATTATATTTGCTCATGAATTATTATTTTTACCTCTGGGAAATTAGAATTGATTGTTGCAAGAGATTTTCATATGCATGGAAGCACACAAATGAATTAATTAATTAATTATATATTGTAAATAAGTATGAATGTGTTTTTATTTAATGTTGTCTCATGTTTGATTTATTCTGTTATTCCAAGTTTTCTGTTCTTTTCTTTTGTTATAATCATGTTTTTCTTTTATTGTATATATGGTATGTTTGTGTTTCATACATTCTAAATATTCAATGCCCTTTATTGAGGCAAAATGGTTTTTTTTTTTTCCTCAATAAAATATTATTAGTAAGTTAATTATAAAATTCTTTCATACTTTATATTTAAGGATCGTGGATTCTATACATTTCTTACGAGAATGTGTTATTTTTTATAT